TCCCTGGGACGGAGTAGACGTGGCATCCAAACATGGCACACTGGGATATTTCGGTACCACATTAGCGTCAAAATGAAAATTTTTCTGCAAAAGCACAGCTACTGTCACGCAGCCACGCCTGCGAAATCTCCGGGATCTCAAGAGTAAACAACGCCCTGATATGAAATGCTGTGATTTTTGGAAAGTCTTCTATGCAGTGATATGATATCAAAGAGGAGATCATTGTTAAGAAAGAGCTCAGACGAATTGGAGTGTCAATGTTCAAGCGTGATAACAGCGGGGTGAACAGATAAGAGGACCCGTGACTTCTTATAAAGGGGCATTCCGCCTCAAACATTTTTTAAGCAATGTGCCGCAAACTGAAGGAACCACTTCAGTTGCTTCACTATTTTTATTATAATGACGATCTCATAGTACATTTTTGTGGAGAATTTGTGAAAGTTTCAATTTTCTTGAATTCCTGTGAGCCCTCTTCTCTCCACCGTCTCGCGCCCTTCCGAATAAAAAAAAACTCATATCGTACAACGTGTGTCTGTGATCCATTGCAGATCTCATGTCGTTGAACCTGTACACGCCTGCAAACGGTCTCCACCGTACTCATGTCACTTGGGAAGACATTGAGGAGGACATGCAACGAGAACTTGACACAGTCGCCTCTTTCGGTCCCAACAAGACTGCTAAGGACATCGGAGACGGAAATGTGAGTAGCAATGAGCGCATGCCTATGAGGTGCAACCAGCTGCATATGGCAATCGTTCCGGAAAGGCAACTTTTAGGAGCAGAGCTTTATTTCATGAAATCTTTCTCTGTGGCATGACATATGTGGCATTGCACAAAGTATGCCAACACCCACTACAGGGGGCCCAAAGAAAGTCACTATTCTTTCTTAACTTTCGCTATAAGTTACACTTTATAGAATGCTGACCGAACACCTTCTGGAAAAGCGTCATCGAGAAATTCTCACGCGCGACCGTGATTCGGTGCATCACAAGGAATGTACCGAAAGCAGCGAATCCTGTGCACGTGCCTAGTATGAAGCGCAGATAGAGCTTGATTAGAATTACCGCTCCACCCTCCGGGAAGCGGAGCACCTACAACCAATCGAGCCTGTCATCTTTGTGTAGATGACCCAGTGGCTGGGTGCCAACTAGAGTACACGAGGGCTACGTCAGTGGACAAAAAGAGGGGGGCAGCGGAGAGGTTGAGACCGGTGCACAAGGTGTGCTGAGCCCGGACTGATTAGTGTCAATTTTTGGAACTTCTATCGAAAAGTAGCATCGAAGTAACACTCATACCTTCACCGATCTCAGGCCGTTCATTCTGTTACCGTTACTGTACAATAAATGGAAGTGAATAAT